CATTCATAAGATTGAGTGTCTCATGTTACTAACAACTTTGTAATATACTCATTTGTTACAAAATTCAATAAAAACAATAAACTTTAAAATCAATCATTTTGTATTGATTTTTGCTTAATATCAACTGTACGAAAATTTAGAGTTTTCGTCCGTAAATAATAACTTCATTGTACTAAGGGGTTACGGTTGTAGAAAATATGTCATGGAGGTCGTCATATTTTTTTACAAATGACATCTATGTAAAAAAGCATGATGGTCCCCGTGACTGATGTTCTCCTACCGTTCCTCTTAGATAGTTTACTACAATGTAATATAACAAAAACCTTAGCCACAGCAACGTGTGGCTTTGTCTGGAAATATGTATTTAACATAAGGAAATAGATAAAATGAAGGCTTCATTATTAATTTAAAATATCAATATAATTCACAATGATATAATAATGAGAACATGGTTGTTTATTTTTGGCCTATAGGCTAAATCAATTGATAAAGTTCCCTACATTCAAATAACTGTCGTATTCTTGTCTTTTCATCATTCACAACATAGAAGAACAGCATTGAATTTTCTTCCGATCATCACCTCCTTCCTCCAGGAGTCATTCACAAAATGTGAAACAAAATTAAATGAGTACTATCCACTTACTCCTTTCCTGAAGTGAACCCTTTCTACTTATTCTTCTCAGCCAATTTGGAACTAATCATATCCTTGAACTGACCCAAAATGAGATTTTCTCTCTTTTGCCTTTCTTCTTTGCTGAACATTGCCAAGGCACGTTTCTCATCAGCGGAATAGATTTGATTTTCTTTACGAATTCGCACAGCCTCCATTCTTCTGTGCCGCGAACCTGACATAACATAACCTACTGACTCATACGTTTCTATCTCCTCAGAAGTCAGGCCGATTTCTCCTCTTCTGGGAATACGTTTTCCTTCGGCAACATAAGCTGCCATAGCTGCACCTTCACCAGGTAGTAGTGCCTTGCCCATTTCTTTATGGGTCAAAGTAGTGTGAGATTTTTGTGAAGGACCTATGACACCATCTTCATTATCAGAATGTGAATCATTTCTGATTTCTACAGGTTTTTCAACCCACTCCTCTTCCTCAGAATCACTGATGTCCTCACTGCTAGAAACCTTCTTCTTTCGTTTCTTTGCTTTTTTATCCCTCTTGTGTTTCTTTTCTTTTTTTGACTTTTTTTCCTTTTTGCTTTTCTGTTTCTTTTTTTTAAGTTTTTTACTAGTATGGTGATGTATTTCACTGTTTAATTCATGTTCAGAAGCAGAATCTTCACGGTCTGGCGACTTTCCCCAAATACCTGGACAATCCCTTATACCCAATATCTCTCTTTGCTTTCTACGTGATTCCATAAAATCATCTTCATCGAATCTTTTACTAGCCAAATCTCTGGATCTATGTCTATTTCTGTCTTCAGGATTTCTACGATGATCTGATCTAATATCATTTTTGCCTTCATAGGAGCTTCGGTTTGTTTTTGGTAAAGGCGATCTAGATCTACTTCTTGAGTGATGTCTGTACTTTTTTCTGGACTTACTTTTAGGCGAAGGCGATCTGGAGATACTTCTCGTTTTGTTATAAGGACCCATAAGGAAAACTAGGAATCACTCTGATATGGAAAATTGAACTATTTGACTTTTAACTAGATATCTATTCACATCTTAGTTCGCACTAAAATAACTCTTCTTCTTCTTATGGCTCTGCCTTTTCGGCAATTTGCCAGTCATCGGTGATTTGTTCCATCACCCTTCCCTCAGATGTTTAGGTTGTCTCACTCGAAGTGATTCCATAAACATCCTATTCTGCAATTATGACTATATATATTTTTACATTAACTTATTTACAGTAAAAGACAATGTATAGACCAACTGACCAGGTGAATAATTATTTTTGAGGTAGGTATAAGACAGATAGCACAACAAAGGAAGTCACGTTTCTCGCTCCGGAGCAACGGCGGAGCATTACACACCCGAAATGTTGCCTCGGACTAGTAGCACCCAGGTTATAAAAAGTAGGGAACTAAAATAACTCATTTTACTTCATAAATATTGGCCTATCACCTGAGGGTTCTTCTCTTCTTCTTTTTCCATTAGTGCTTCAACTGCCAGGGCTATCCAGCCAGGAGTTCAAGATTCTTCTTGCTACTACAGGTGGAGCACACACTGAAGTGGATCTGAGTCGGACCCAAACCCCACCTGGGTTTGCACTAAAACAAAGTTCAACTGTGATTTGAAGTCAGTTGACAAGCAATGTCCGACTGCTTTGAATGTAAGCACTAATGTGTGGTGATGCACTACGGTTACGTGTATGGACACTACGATCAGGTCATGATTGGCGACATCTAAGGGTTGTTCTCTCATATAGATTGCAAAGTTGCCAACTGAATGAACTATAAAGTGAAACAAAATTCCGCTACACTGCTTCATATTCCGCGACGCTTGTATATCTGACGCACTAGTTATACTTGGCATCAATATTTTGTGCGTATCATATTTGAAAAACTCCTGAGATTGTTTTAATTTTGGTTGCTTACTGACCAGTAGATGATGTGACAGGAACATTCATTACACCAGGCAAATATTTTTTTCAGAAGACTGAAAACCGAGTGTTATCCCCCAGCCATTACATTGGTTGTATCACTGGAGAATGCCATCCGATTTACAAGAGGAATATTTTACTTTTTCAAACATGTTTTCAGTGCCTATTATAATCTGGTATCATCACTATTTGGCACCTCAACCAAATGAAAAAATGAAATTATAATTTTCCTAAATTTGAAATATAAATTTTACTGAAAGCACATTGTTTAATATTGCATCCACATCACTTGTTTCGTCCATAATAATCAAAAAAAATACACCATTGCGATTAAATAAGCTATTTTAATCTTTTTTGAAGGTTTTGCCTATAACGCTTACTTGATCATGGACGTTGCTTCAGTTAATTTTCGATTTATGTTCTGAGATATATTAGAGTTAGGAAAAATAACTGCCGGAAAATCAGACAAAATGTTCATTTGTTCACTCTTTCTCTCTAGGTTTTCTTAGCCTTTGCTTCCGTACACGGCGCGTTTGCCACTGAATTTTGTTTCATTCGCTGCAAAATTGACTGAAGTCCACTGACAGAAAGTCCATGTCAGTTTTGTGTGGAAAAAAATAAGAATTTCATTCCTTCACCTTCTTTCAATTTAATTAGCCACTCTCTAAATTCACGCATATCAAACAAAATATCTTAGAATTTACATACTTGCTTTTTGGAAACTACTGTACTCTTTTTTAAAGCAAGTGTTTTTAGTATCATCATTTGTGTTTTCAATTTTTTTCTTAAAAAAATATATACTTGAAATAAAATGAGTCTTTACGTTACCGTTTAATTGAAACAAGTGTGATTCCACTCAGGAGACACTGAAATAACCCTATTTCTATTCTAAAGTATTGAAAGAAATAAAACAACCACTAGTTTTCACATAAGAATTTATACGAACGGCTTAGGCAGCGTGAAGTTTCTTTCGGGCTATCGTTTCGTTGCTATGCCGTTGTTTCCGGTTTCGAGAGTGGGAATATAAGGAAAAATTGCATGGTGTTGCTCCTAGGGTCAAAATACCCCGGAGGTAAAATAGCTTCCAATCAGATCTCCGGGTGGGGGCTGATTCGAAAAAATCACTATTTTTGACAGTCAACTGGGTTTTCCCAACATCAGACCACAGGGAAATAACATGGTAACTGCAGTGGCTAAGATGCCCACTAGCAACTCCATTTCTGCAACATCAGAGGACTCAACTCAAATACCAAATAGTTCTCATATTCTTGCACTCACAGAGAAACCGAAGTCAGTGTTTCAACAAAACCTGTAAATTTTCTAACCCGATTCAGACGTGTCTTTGGAATAGCTCTTTTTATCAGAAGCGATCTCTCCTGTCAACAAGATGAAATGCTGGTTCAAAATAAATAAAATCACATATGCTGCGTTTATCAACCACCAAGCGATACACAATATAGGGCACTATTCTCTTCACTTGCAAACACCATTGACTTTCTGCAAATCAATCATCCCAGTGCCGAAATTTCCATATTCGGTGATTTCAATGTCTACAAAATACCGCATGGCTCAAATTGTCAAATATCAACGACGAACAAGGTCGCGAACCTGAGGTTTTTGCAATGAGCAGTCGACTTACTCAGATTATAAATGAGTCAACCCCAGGATTCCTAACCGAGATAGAGAATATGCTAGTCTTCTGGATCTATATCTAACAACCAATCTAGAAATTTACAGTAACCGTAAGGTCTCCATTGAGATCTTCTAATCACAAACTCATTTCAGTGTTGAGTGAATTACCGATAAATATTGGGGAACAATCTAAGCCGCGCAAAGTTAGGCATTACAGATCTGCTAAGTGGGAATATCTTCAAAACCATTACCGAAATTTCCCCTGGCTAGATATTCGTTTCAGCTCTAAAGATCCATCTATTTGTGCTTCTGAAGTCACGGAAGTTGTTCTATCATCCATGGATGCATATATTCCTTTTTCAATGAAACGACCTAAAAATGGCAATAAAAATCTTCCAAATAAGTATAGACCAGTCGCTTTGCTATCACTGATTTCAAAAATGATGGAGAAAGCCGGAAACCACCATATCCTTGAATATTTAGAAGGCTTCAACATCCTGAGCGATCATCAATATGGCTTTCGCAAACAAAGATCAACAGGCGACCTTCTATCTTATGTCACCCATATTTGGAATAACGCAATAGAGAAACATGGAGGCTTTGCTGGCCAAACTTCGAAGCTATGGATTGTCGGATCATTTTTGTGTATGGCTCTTCGGCTTCCTGAAAGAACGTTCCCTGCAGCGTTCCCCAGGAATCTATATTGTCTCCAGCTCTTTCTATTATATATCAACGACTTATTGGAAAAAAACAAGAATCCAATAAATTGCCTTGCTGACGTCATTCCATTTGGATTCCAGGTCATAGGCGGCGGAAGGATATCTTCATAGGCAGCAGGAGGTTGCATATCTTTATGAGGATCTACAAGTAATTTCGAATCGGGATGAAAATAACCAGGTTCAATTCAATGACGAAAACCCAGGCATCGGTTTTCTCCAAAAAGATGAATGTCTTCGAACCAGATATAATAATGTCAGGTCAGACAATTATCATTGCATTGGAATTGTATAAGCCGTTTCTCAAACACTTAGAACACTGTTCCGAACCAGAAAACTGTACAGACCTCAGCAACTTTTGATGCTTTATAAAGCTCAGATCAGAACTTCTTTGGAGTATTACTCTCATGTATGGAGCTTCGCCCATACATGCTGCTGGATTCCATCCAGAAAAGAGCCATACGCCTAATTGAAAACGCGAACATCACTTGCAACCTTGATAGTCTGGAACATCGAAGAGAGGTTGGAGATTTGTCTCTCATTTATAGATACTTTCACGGGAGATGTTCAAGTGACTTGGCACATTTGATTCCACCACGAGCGGTACATAGAAATACGCGACAGACTGTGGCTGCTCATCGTTTTGAGGTTCAACTCAGTACATCTCGAAATTTACTGTTTGAAAACTTTTCCATTTGGAGAACTGCGTTTATGTGGAATAAACTTCCTGAGAACGTTTTCCGAAATGGATTTATTTTCCAGCGTTTCAAATTCAATGTGAACCATTACTTTCGCACAGGCACCGCTCTTAGAGTGCCTTTCTGTAGTGCTTGTGTTTTGTTTAAAAAAAAAAACACCAACAATCTGATAATTCCAAACAAAAAAACTATCAAACCAGTGTCAATACCGCATTCAGTGCAATGCTTTCTGCTGCTTTTTTGTCCTGCGGTGAAGTTAACTATCAACTGTCATACTGTCAATATCCGCAATGTTAATTTGTTATGGCCACAAATTTCGATAGTCTTTAATTTTGAAATTAAAATGGGTGGTTCTACAAGTAAAACTAGAAAATTAACTGTTGAAAATGACGACCCAAATAATGTGATTAAAGTATCTGAAGATGTTGTTGATCGTCTACGAGGGAACCAAAGTAAGGCTAAGTTTATTGAAATTTCCTTTTGAATTTGAAAATTGTAAAATCTTTCTGTTTCGTTCTCAGTTCCGATTTTTTTTACATTTATTATTCGATATTTTCGAAGGGGCGCCCCAGTTACACATTACATAATATATAATTAAAATGCTTCTTTCCATAACAGTGATGTACTATAAATGGTAATATTTCATTTGTACAGCGGTAAGACAAGAATTACAGAAGAATCAAACCGCATTTCCCCCACAAGGAACTCCAGTCATTACTACACCATACTTTTTGAATGAACCTAGTCTAACCACACTTCAACTTCGGCAGCAAAATGTAGCAGAACTGAAGAAAAATGATGAATATTGGGAAAACAGAATAAGAGCGTTGGAAGCCAGTCATAAGAAGATGAATGAAATCATGGATAAGGAATATAATAAAGCAGTATGTATATCTATGCTACTTTTTGTAGCACACTTTTGCATATTGTCAAGCACAGTTTTGCATGTTGAGCACAGTTTTGCATGTTAAGCATAGTGAACTTGTTTAACTGTGGTTACTGATAAAATTACTTATCACTTTGTGTAGTTTGAAATATTCATAAAAAGCAGTGTGAAGTTGGCAGCTAGGGATTGCATCCATAACTTCCGGACATTCACGAAGTTCCCGTGAGGCGCACGGCGATGTTTTATTACTAACTATGAATCTAAAATATACTTAGAGAAATTGAATGATTTCAAAGGCATTTTTTGAAAAGACAAAACATGTTTCAAATAAGGGAAAATTATTACCTGTTGATTTCCTTATTTTTTTCATTCCTTTCAACAATACAGGTTAAGTGATAATACCGAAATGAAATAAGATCTGATTTCTAATTTGCTATAATATGAATATGAATATATAGAGTTTTATTATTTGTTGGCAACATCACAGTGATGAGTTGATATTTTGAAAATGTGAAACATAGGCATTTTAAATTAGAAAAAAAGGTATTATCTGTTGATTACCTTGTTTTAATTGTTGAGCCTTTATTTCACTCAAAAATACTCACGTAATCTTGAAAAAAATATTGACTTGTCATTCATTTCTCAAACAGAACGAGCATGTAACAAAATCTACAGCAAATACTTTTTTCTTATTTGAAGTCTATGTTTTGTATTTTCAGGAAATACTACTAAATCAGTAAATATCATTTCTGAGATTGCCTCTAACTTAAGTTGATAATTCAATTTCTCTAGAATGTATTTACTCAAAGCTGAACATCATCATATACGCCACTGGACGTTCGGGAATATTCGGAAATTCTGGCAGCTTTTTGACTGCCAACTTCACATGCCATTCATTCTTGAATGACTATGAAACAGCTTTGAATATACTGATTTGTTTCTCATTTTCATGTTTCAAATCAAACCGGAGTAATATTTTGAAATTTTGTCTTTTCCATACTTTTATTCGCCCTGATGTTACCAACAGATGATAATAAAAACTCTAGTGAATTTCAAAGTTTTGTTTTCATTAAAAAAACATTAAGTGGTAGCAAGAAGATGGCATTTTACTAATTATTATTGTCAAAAAAAAATCATTCAATATGAATAAACACAAAATTAGTCACGGAAGCAGTTAAAAATATCGCTTTTAAGCCTGAGATTTGTTTCACTTTACAAATATTGAAAGATTTTACTGTACGAAATTGCATGTTCATACTTGATATTACATATTCTCTGAAAATAGTCTCCTATGAAATTTGTTGAATGTCACTGATCTGATTTGAAACTAGACACCTTATTTGAAATTTCACCAAAGCAAAATAAACTATTTTTAGATATTTTCTATGTATGTATCAGAAATTCTTGCATACTTTTCAAATTTTGTACGCTGTCAGAAATACATCTGTTCTGTCAAATGAAAATTCTATTCAGTTTCCTAAAGGAATTTGTTTAATACACAAATTATTATATTTTCATTGAGAAATCATTTTTCATCATCACTTATTCAATTTTGAGGATATTGTGAAGGAGTTTAATTCATAAGTTGGTCTTGCACGGCCCAGTAAGATAAGCTTTTTATCATAACATATCTTTCATTAAATCCCATAAATTTATTGCCACTTTTTGAGAACTATGTTACTGTACTCTTTTGGTCCAAATATAAATTAATATCTGCAAGAGTTCCTGGCATAAGAAAGTAACTTACCGTACAGACGTGTATAATTTGAATATTAGAAATAAAGGCCTACTGAATGTACCTCCATTTACAGTGGAATATTTTAGAAGGTCATTTAGCTACCAAATAGATTCTCTGTGCAAACCGGTTCTGAATATTATAAGAAAAGAAAATGTTACTAATTCAGACAATTTTACAAAGAACATCTTGAATCTCAAATTTAATAAGAATGATGTTTTTTCGTTTTAGGTCAATATTTTTTTTTGTATACTATATACAATACTATACCAAGAATCAATGTGTTCATAAAATCCCCAGTTTATAACATCTGTAAAATTTATAATAGTTTCTATTCAGAATGTGATATTTTTGTTGTTCCATTTTGTATATAATTCGTAACAAGTTAATTTATATGCAAGTCTAATTACAACTCATAAAGGTGAAATACTGTGTTTCAACTCTCTGCACACTGCCAATTCAATTAGAATTCTACAGTATATGTTTTTTTGATCATTATATGTATGTCAGTTTCACAAAATGAGTGAGCATACTTGGAGACTCGCTGTAAATCAAATTATCTACAAGAACAATTCGTTCAGGCCAGTCTCAAGTTACCTACACTGTAGGTTAATGGACTGACACCTATTAGAAAACAACTACTCCCCCGGTTAATACCACGAAGGGCGTTGGATTATATCCGACAGGTTTCAGTGCAGGATTCTTCACTGAAGTTATTCCTGCATATGCTGTTGGTAATACAACTGCCGCAATAGATTTTCAATTATTGGAACACATTTGCAGACCGGTTTCGGGCTGCACTGACGAGTGGCCAAACAGCTCGAAACCTGAAAGTGTGTTCCAATAATTGCCAGTCTCAAATTGCCTACACCCACAGTGTAGGCGAATTGGGACTGGCCTGAACGAATTGTTCTTTTAGATAATTTGTATGTATCAGTGTTTGTATAATATACTATTCTAATAGTCTAGTGATTTTATATTCTATCATTGTAATCTATTTTATTTATACTTATTCATAGCTGTGAACTTCATTATATATGTCTTGTAATTGGGGTTACTCCTGTTAGACAATATTCCCCCCTTTTTATATTATTACACAGCTTTGTTTAGGGTTAAGTGGTGTTTACACAACAGAAAATAAATTTAGAACTTTTTTCCATATATAAACCTTGAAATCTAAAATTTATTGTATTCTTTTGAATGTGGAAATAATGAAGACGATTATTATTATTATTTCTTTTCACAATTCAGGTAGAACAATTCCAAGGAAGCAAGACAGTTGTAAAAGAAAAAAGTCTACCACCTTGTACAGAATCGGAAAAAGCAGTGATGGAATGTTATCAGTGCTACCCAAATGAATCGATGAGATGTTCGAAGATAGTCCAGGCTTTTCAAGAATGTGTGGATATGAGAAGATCCTGTTTACTAGCAAACAGAGGATGAAGAAGCGAAATGAGTTGTTCATCTTTTAGTGATCATTTTTAGGTTGTTTTTATGTAAATATGAAATGCCAATAAATTCGTATCAATTGCCTTTATATTAACAATATCTTATTTTGGGAGGGGGTTATTGTGTGTAATAAATGTTACATTGAGTTGATTTTGTGTTATTACATTTTTGTATAAGCTATCATTTGTTCTTTTAAAATAATAGATATATTTCGAAATAATGCTGTAGAGGGAACACACAAAAAGTTTTGTCCGTTTTTATGAGTTTACTTCAAACTGTAATATCTCAGTGAATACTTATTCAATTTAATGGAAATGAGCGCCATTGAATCACTGCACTTTTGCCAACATTATACAAGTTGATTAATTCTGTCAGCATTGAAATTGTGTGGTCGGGATTCGATGAAGTCGACGAAGGCTGTTTCTTTCCAGGTCCTGATTGGCGAAGGTTCTACAGGAGAGGAATTTATCGAAGTGCTTCAGAAGATGGTAGTCGGTTGGTGTGAGATCTGGGGAGTATGGTGGGTGAGGCAAAAGTTTGACGCTCACTTTGTTTAATTCTGAAGTCAAGGCAGGTTTTAGAATCTGAAACGTTAAGATAAGTATCTGTATGATTTCTTCCCTCTTATTTTGCTAGAACATTTTCCTTTATGAAAAATATTTTCAATATACGCAGTAACTTATTGGAGTGAACTTTTCCTTCTACACCTTTATGAAATTCTCCATTACAGATTTTATTTTTTTCATATTGTGGCAGGTAAAATAACCTAAAATGCCTATAAAAACTCAATAAGAAATCGAGGAGAGATATATACACATAAGAAAATGAATATTTCAAAATAAAATCTTGAAATATTCATCTCTCCCAACTACGTACACCGTAGGTTCTGATAAATGCCTGCTGGAAAACAACTAGCACGCTGGATATTGAATTATATTCGACAGACATTTATGCAAGATTCCTCACATAGAGTCTCGTTCATCCAGCAGCAGTAGCAAGCTGAAATCATTTGAGTAGATCACCTCTCATCAGTGCAGGAAAAATCCAATGCAAACAGCAAAAGGGCTGTGACTCGATTAATTTCAAGGCGGCTCGACTGCATGTATGAAACCATCGTTCAGAAGATTGTTAACCAGCAACAGTTCCATCTCGTGAACAAAGCCTCAAGCGGGGAAGAAATATCCCATGTATCAGTTCTCTGACAGAAATCAAAATAAGTTTGAATACTGTATCGAGGAGCGATACATACAAAATAAAATTTCAAAATATTCATCTCTCTCAACTACCGACCTAAAAAATATTCCATGTTTCTGTTATTGTATTGAAAAAAATTGAAAATTGGTTCACACATAAAGCTATTTGAGTTCTAATCAATTTTATCACCACATTACAAATTTCCAGTGGGGCACAATTGTTTCAACTCTGGGAGTTTTTGTTCTTGTTTTTTTTTAGAAACAATATATTTCAAAACAAATTATTGCTTCAATGATAAGGTTTGGTGTTTGAGAATATGTTTTAAAAGTATGAAGTTCTGAAGGCTAACTTGCAATTGAAAATAAACAACTGTGAAGTTGAGAATTTGCTGATTTGTTATTAGCCTAGAGGTAGTTTTCTGTTCAGAACTTGAAAATTTTTAAATTAGTATGGTAGGTACCTTAATGACACTCCACTCCATTTTTTTTGGAAGGCTGACTTTATTTTAGTCAGTTATTTAGAGGCATCTTGTAGATTATTATTACTGTGAATTTTGAATTGATATAATTGTAATTTTCTATACAGCTAACCTATTAAATTATGAAACGAGTTACAAATACAAGTGATATAAAAATATAGAAAGTTTTATTCTTAATTTTTCAACAAGACAAAACCTTTCTTGGATATCTACTTCTCTAGTGTATAGCAATGATTTTGCATTATGTTTCACAATTTTTAATTAATATCGTTCATTCAACATTTTCTCCCAAATAAGTTGCAAAATATGTTCCTTTATAGCTGTCTGAAAATTGGTATTGAGGCGAATATATCACTGGTTTTGAATAACATCAGAAGTGCAAGATTAATCACATAATAATATGCTTGCTGTTAGCCTGACTCCATCATGTGTTTGAATATGAAAAATTATAGTGAATTAATATGAGAGGAGCACCGTTGATCTTGGAATGAAAAAAAAATCCGAAATGTAGTTTTCAGTTTAGAACTTGAAAATGTTTCAATTAGTATGGTAGGTACCTCAATGACACTTCACTCCATTTTTTTTGGAAGGCTGACTTTATTTTACTCAATTATTTAGAGGCATCTTGTAGATTATTATTACTGTGAATTTTGAATTGATATAATTGTAATTTTCTATACAGCTAGCCTATTGAATTATGATTTCTACATCCAACACACCTTCAATCTCTTTAATATGTTAATTGCCACCTGTTAACTGGCAAAATGCATGAAGCACTAAACAGAATATGTGGAATATTACGAATACACTCAATTTTCTAATTTTGATACATTTTTCACATTCATATGTTCAGATTGCCAAACCAATAGTTCACACTTTTACATGAATGCAAAAAAACACCCAGAAATGGTAAATTACACATGACATAAACTGCCAGCATTCAATTTATGAAAACTTTACTCTCCACTTGTATGCTGGCGGTTTAGGTTGTAGCAAAAGGAATATGACTCTTTGGTCGCCGATCATACGGAATGCTTCCTTTACAATTTTTAAAACAAGTTATGTAGCAGTTAACATGTTCAATACCTTCTTACTGAAAAAAATTTGACATTCTTTGGATCTATACACTATTTATTGATATAAGAATTACAGAACGTACTATCATAAAAACATTTTAGTGCTCCTCTTCATAACCACTAGGAAGTGCATTGGTATGTGGGTTGTGGAACAGAGAACGGTTTCCATCGCCCCATGGGAAACGTTTGGTACGTACTCGAAGATGTTCATAGGCGATAAATTCTGGCCTCGACGGATGCTCAGCATGCTTCTGATGAGTCAAGTAGCAGTTCACTGCACATAGAATTATGGAAGGAAAGGCCACAAAAAAGGTCAGATTTTTCCAAATTTTGTAGGAACCTTCATGTTGCCCAGAAACTGCTGACGAGCCTTCTAATTGAACTGCTTTCTTAGCGGAGGTTTGTATAAACCTGCGAATACTCTGATTTAACAGAAAAGCCATATTCACCTCGAATACCTATTTCCTTCGCACAAACCAAAATTATATAATTCTATGAAAATGTCAAGTTGTCAAACGAACTGACAGTTCTTATTTTTTAAACTGGCCTCATCTGGTAGGGCAATTAAAACCATTCGTTTTTACGATTTACAAAATCAAAAAGTGTAGGAATGAAAAAAATATTTCTGAAATGTAGTTTTCTATTCGGAACTTACAAATTTTTCAATTAGTATGGTAGGTACCTTTGTATCTTAATGTCCGGATATTACGAAATTTTTGCGAATACAACGGCTGCCACAAATGCCGTAAAATTTAAAATAACTGAATATTATTGTGAATTCGATTAATCATGGAATGACAGGAACAGAACCAAGCATGGTTATTTCGTGATTTCCGGCAAGAGTTCAAATATTCGGATGAGTATGAATAAGCTCAAAGTCGTACTTTCGTTGCTTATAAGCACTGCAGAAACAGTGAAATGTTATTTTTTCAGGAAGTAATCATTATTCGATATAATTATTTGTTCTCGAGTTACTGGAGATTTAGTTATATTTGGACATAATTGGACGAAAATCATCAAATAAAGTTGCGGAAGTTAATTGAATTCAAGTTCTGCAACGCGTCTCGTTTCAAAATTTGCTAGAATATAATAATGAGACAGAATAGACCAAATTCAATGAAGTTCATTCTGGGGATGTTACTGCAAATTACACTTAAGTTGTTGAAGTCAATTATTAGGTTCACATAAAACTATCATCTTTTAAAAACACTTTTCTCTAACAAAACAAAAATGCTGTCTCTCGACGCGCGTTTTGCTAACCAAGTTAGCATCATTTCACGCTAGAGGTTTCAAATTCTACTTATGAAATAAACAGATCAGTTCAAAAATTCCAAGTATGAGAAACGACGAGGAAAAAATATAATTGAAAACTATTCAGTATGTATAATATCTGATTTTTGAAAACTATATGAATTTTTATAATAAGTACAAACAATCATGAAAGGTGAAACTTCAACCTCTGGCGTAGAATAAATCCAAAAGGAGCACTTTTCTGAAACACCAGAACTGTAATATACTTTTCTGCAACTAGTTAGGGCCTTTTCTCTCTGACGACTCATCAGAACTCAAAAGTAACACTCGATAAGAAGCAGGCAACTTCAATATTCATCTGAATCACTATAAGATTAGATAATTGGAAAATGTATGGTCATTGTTTACGATTTCCAGTTTCAACTTCAAAAATAATTGACTAATATTGACTAATTAATAACACAGTGGAAAATTGATGTCCGTCTTGTTTCGAAAGTAATCAATAGTAATAATATTATTTTCAGGACAACGCCATAAAAAATGTTGGTAAATAGCGATCAAGTAGTGGTTAATTTTGGAACATACCTTTATAATATACTTATATAGAGAAAGCGCTTTTACATGCATTCAGCGAACACTTTCCACCTTTTGTTTTAGACGCAACCCGAATTCCGAATCTTGAATCCTGTGCCTAAATGAAGTGATAGAAACACACAATTTCAGGTTAAGGAGTATTGATTCTTTAAATTTGAATTTTGAAATGAAGACAAAGTAATATTCAGACAAGTTGGACTTAAACTGAGAAAGTGTCCTACTTTGTCTACCAAATAAATATATGAAACGGGAAAATGAGTGACGAACGATTTTTAGTTAGTGGTTTTGAGGATGATCTTCAAGATATTGATGAATCGAGAAATCCAACAGGTAATATATTCAAAGCATTGAAGAACTCAAGTTAGTTATCGCGAAAGTTGAAATACAGAAAATATATTTTGAAAGATAGGGCTTCACTGTAGTAATTACCCAATCCATTTAGATTTTGCATCAATCCAAACAAGAAAATACTTATTGTCAAATGGTCCTGTATAATCTGTGTTACTGTTGAAATATAATTCAACCCCCCAACAGCTATCGCATAATTTCACAGTTCTTCATTTTTTCAGATAAATTAGAACATCAAATCTTGGAAGCCTGTGAAAATGGAAACCTTGAGACTGTGAAACATTTGATCGAAACTCATCCGAATCTTATAAACGCAACTGACAAAGACAAATACACTCCCTTACATAGAGCATGCTATAGTAATCATATTGATATTGTCAAATATTTGATTCAAAAAGGAGCAAATGTTGCGGCAAAAACTGAGTTGAAATGGGAACCTTTACATTCATGCTGCCAGTGGAATAATAAAGAATGTGCCGCTGTTTTGCTTCAGAATGGGGCAGATGTGAATGCTGAATCTGAGGGAAGTAAGTATTTTGATAGTGAATGAATTATTAACAAATTCAAACTGAAGAGTGTGTGGGTAATCATTGGCATACAATCAATTTATCTTCATTCTCTGAGACGATATTTTATTTCATATAACATTTAGTTTTGAATTATATAAACCTTAAAGTTTACAATAATTATTATTGCAGTTAAATTAATTGATCCAACATGCCAAGTCTTGATGACATGAATGAGGTTTTCGTGGTTATTGTCCAGTATTTCTATTGATGGGCATAATTGATCAATTGGCATCTTTGAAATTCAATAATCAGAAAATTCAAATGAATGAAATACAGATAGTTACATGATCCAATAGTCTACTATGAACTCTGTTAGTTTTTGACAAACTCAGGTAATTTGTAGTAAAAATTACCTGCGATATACAATTTGAACACTTTTTAATATGTATCACATATTATAGGTCTAATTTAATAAGCTTATTCTTAGAATACTTGAAATGTTTCTATTACATTTCATCGTAGTACAGATATTTAGTTTTTCAAATTTGGTTGATGTTGAATTTTTTATAGTTTGTTGAGAATAACTGATTATTCATTTATAACCCAGAACAAAGAAAGCAAGCAATAAGTTCAATTGAAATTGAAATTACCATTCTCAATTGAAATTCCCTTTTCCATTGGGAAGGCAATTCAACATTTGCGAACCATCTTTGACATAGGAGTTCAATCACGATTATGACATATTGCATTTGGAAGGGAAAGGTTCATATCCCAACCTTTTGGAATGCTTAGAAATTAATAGATTTGAATATTCGGAATTATTGTTCAATGACCAAATATATTTAAAATCATTCTCCTTCATTGAATTCAGTTTGTAACGAGGAAATTGGTAGTTAGTGTAGATCTTAAAAGTAGGTAAAATGATGTCTTATACTATAACAATTTTCAATTGAAGGTGATTCATTAGCAACGTCGCACTTTAAATGACCAACGGATAATCCTCTTACCAACTTTGCAGAGGCGTACCAAAATAATATTTTCATTTATTTAAACACATAGGTAATTACGTAAAAATTGTTATAGTAGGTGGCGCTACCTGGTGTCAATGGTAAAACTGAATATATTTCCTTATTATGCCTAAAACAGTACTTCAAAAGGAACAGAAAAATTTAAAAAATAATTATTATGTTTCTTTTATATAGAAAGAGAACTACAAAGCAAAGAAATAATTA